AACCGTGACGGGCACGTTGAGGGTACACGACAGCGTAACACCCACTGCTTCGAGCCTGTCGAAGCTAGCGCCCCGTTCGGCCAGGGCGCGCATGAGGACAAGTAAGAGCTCTGTGTGTACGGACGTGGGAGGTGCCGGTGAGGTGCGCGGTCGAGTGGGCAGTGTCCTGTGGGCTGAGGGGACGTTAGGAAACAGTGCTGGAAGTGGAGGCGCAAACATACCAAATATAATGGTTCGAGTTTCCCCATACTTAGTGCCGCGCATGAACGCCGTGCGACGTACAGACGTCGGTGCGGAGTCGGCGCGAGTGGGACCTTTGGGACGCTTCGTCGCTACCTGGCAGGGCCGAGGCAGAGACACGGAACGGGCGAAAAACGTCGAAGGTCGAGACATCATTCCGGTAGACCAGTCAGAGAGATTTTATGAGTAAAGTTGCTGCTTCAGGAGATGGTGGTCGTTCAGACTTAAGATAGTTCCGGGGCTTCTAGCGAGCTGGAGGAGAATTTATACTTTTCTACTAGGCTGGTCGAAAAGGACGTTCCGTTCAAACGTCTTCCTTACAGTGTTTCGGATGTCGGAAAATCTGCTTTGAGTCCGCCATCGACAGCAGCATTGGCCTCCATTGAAACGATGTGCAGGCATGGAGCCAGTGAGTTCCAAAACCGGGACGGCGGTAGATGTCCAAAAGGGATTTTGATTCTGACCGGTAAGACGGATAACAAAAAATAGGGAGGAGAGAGATGCGGGATAGACAGCGTCGGTCCCGATTCAAACAATGACGAACCATTGCCCGCGGTCGAAAGCATGGTTAAGGCGAAGATAGGATTTTAGGGTGGTATGCAATACACGTTGTCATGCATTTCGCAGGAGTGAGCAGACTGCCCGTGTTAGAGCCTTCCTTCGCAGGCAAAAGGGGCTACATGTGCTGAACAAAGAGACATGGCGCGTGACGCCTAAATTCCTCTAGGCGCAGCTTGAGATTTTAGTCAAGACACGGAGAGGCGATGCACTCACGTTACAACACAAGCACGATGCTCATGAGTCGAACGTTGAACCACTGGCTGGTATTGACCGTACGCAAGGGGAATGAGGATCGTGGGACAGGCCCGGCGCCATCTATGTTCTGGCAACCACCATTTGTGGACGACGACGACGACGACCGTTATTATCTCACCGTCCTGGACTTCGAAGCCGATGGGTGCCGAGCGCATCAAACCTGTTTTCGGCGCAACCCCGCCGTCGCGTGGCGGTGGGATTGTGACACGCTCGTTACGTGCCCCTAAGTTTGTCACGATGAATAAACTAGATTTTTTCATCAAATTTTCTGCTGTTTGAACGCGACGTGGTCATCGCTGACCTACCCGTCGTACAGGCCAGCGAAGACGACAAGCGCGTTTGGCGCAGCTGCCGACGCTCCTGCCGTGAGCGGAGGTAAAGATGAGCGAATGCCCCCCTCTTGCGGCCGACGACGCGCTTTCGACTCCTAGCAGCCTCACCAGTCTCGCATCGACACCAGAGCCAGAGCTCACCACGCTGAGGAACGTTGCAGCATGCGACGGCGGCGTGAAGCCCAACACGTTTAGAACAATCAATAACGCGTGTTCCTCGCCAGGATGCCCGTGGCCGGTGGACTCGACACGACCATCGGAATTGTGTTTCGTCTGCGAGCAGAGGAAATACCACGAGATGGAGAGGGAGAGATTGAGATACACCCTGAATGTGCATGCAAAGGGCGCGCTGGTGAGTCCTGCGGGTACTTCCCTCACATCTCTTGAGGTATTAAACAGACATCAGAAACCTAATTGCGCGATCTGCGCCCGAGCTGTCGTTCTTCCCCCGGTGGTACACCCCGCTCAGTTCATTATATGCACCGTTTGCGAAGGCAGAATGCTCTCTATGAATGCTGCATCC